ACACATTACAATAACTCTTTAAAGAAACAGCGAGGAGATATGGATGAAGTGCCTCTAATACTGACATGACATATACCATCATAATAGTCATCAAACCCAACTCACTCACTCATTAGAAGCATAAAGAGATTCACTCCATTGCAAACGTTCTGAGGCATCTTGTGATAATTATCTATAATTTATTATACCGGCAAAGAATAAAGAGATCAATGTATGGTTCTTTCTTATCAGCAGATCTAATTTACGGATGTCGCGCCATATAAATCTCTGGACTTCATCCGCTCGCCAGACGGAATGGTCCCAGGGTTCTAAGGGTCAACAGGTCAACCGGAAGTCCATCCTGGCACCTGCGTGCTAAACTGACCGAACTAATAATTATTTAGATTCGACATTTCCGCTTTTCTTACATAACTAGTCATGTGGTACTGATATTTTATTCCACATTGATATAAAAATGAGTTTCTTTCTTCTTTCTGCAATACCAGTTTTAATGAATATAAACGGCTGGATGCTTTCTTGAACTTTGGTTCAGAAACTTGACCAGTTGCCTTGTATCTGTAAGGATAATACTGCTGAAGAGGTCGTTGTCGGCACAGGTACTACAGATACGTACCCCAGGTACGTTTATGTATACAGATATTTACCCTAAACAAAGTCAAAATACAGAAACGTACCCGGTACCCTTAAAGGTGGACGAGTCCATATTCCGCAATCCAAAACCGAAACCGTATGTACTTGTTCCCGTTCAACTGATTCCGAATGGTATTCATGTGCATCGCGAAATATCCGTTACTGTGTATTCACATTACTTACATAACGCAATCAAATTATCTAATACAACAGTATGACAGTTCCGGTCAAGAATACGACACGATGGGAATGGAATCGTCCTAGGGTACGTGTCTGTATTCTTATTATGGCCAAGGTACATATCTGTAGTACCCGTGCCGACAACGACCCCTTCAGCGATAATACCTAGGTGGACTGACACTAAATGAACACGCCGAACGAAACAATGTTCATTTAAGACAACGGTGAAACTGTGATGCTAAAAGACCCAAGTAATTTGTTGTAAAAGCTACACCTGTATTGCCAATGAAGACGCACAGGTATTATCACGTGTTGTTTGTTTATTGTTTAACGCCACAATCAACAATATTCCGGCGGTCTGTAACTACTCGAGTCTGGACCAGACAATCCAGTGATCAACAGCATGAGCATCGATCTACACAAATGGGATACGAAGACATATGTCAACCAAGTCAGTGAACCTGACCACCCGATCCCGTTAGTCGCCTCCTACGACAAGCATGGGTTACTGAAAACCAATTCTAATTATATTCTTAAGGGTTAAGAGTTCTGAGGGCTTTGGTTTATACGTGGTGTATAATTAAGCAAGAGACTTTGTTTCAAATATGCCTCTGCTCTGTGAATGGGCACCCGGTGGGATGAGACGGTAGTGTGACTGATATAGCTGTATATGATAGTCCTTCACAGCATCTTCACGGGTGCATACATTACCAATGAAACTACAGTTATTATGTGTGACATCACACAAACATTACCAATGACACCAGCCAATTCAATTCAATCCCTTTTTTTTTATGAAGGCATCAGGCCCATTACAAGGGACCTGTGAAGATCCGGGTTAGAATCTGCCTTGAGCAATCCATATATGTCGTAAGAGGCAGCTAACGGGATTGGGTGGTCAGGTTCACTGACTTGATTGAACCATCGTATCCCAATTGCGTATCATGATGCACAAGCTGTTGATCACTGGATTATCTAGCCCTGACTCGATTATTTACTAATCGTCCTCATATAGTTGGAACATTGCTGAGTTTGGTGTTAAACAACAAAGTTACCTTTGAGGCTGACTAACATGCATTCGAGATAAACAAGGTGTATAAACCCTCGAATAGCAATCCAATGATGATCTTGCAAAATGATTATAGAGCCATGGATAACTACTGACATTGACTGACTGACTCACTGAGTTTGGTTTAACGCCGCTTTTAGCAATATTCCAGCAACATCACGGCGGGGGACACCAGAAATGGGCTTCACACATTGTACCCATGTGGGGAATCGAACCCGGGTCTTCGGCGTGACGAGACAACGCTTTAACCATTAGGCTACCCCACCGCCCCTACTGACATTGACACACTAATATCAACGTATAAACGTTTTAGTTCAGATTTTGAAGAAAGTCGGGCATTATTCGCCGCCCACATGTATGTCAACATACCTACCCAACTAAATTAACATCACTCCCCTAGGAGTGTATATTCTGCATAACTTCTCCGTGCAGAAAGTGTACCGCCGTTTTATATATATATATATATCACTTGTACTGCGGGATGGGTTCGTCGACATATTCATATCACGCATTGTACTGATAAGTAAGAATATACAATGTATACGTTATACCTACACAGAAACCTGTTGAACAAGGTGTGGGGGCTTTACTGTGACGTAAACTTTCACGATGTGGAATATGCATGCTTTTATTGTCGGGCGCCAAGCAATAGCACCGGGCTGTGAAACTCGAGTCACGAATGTTCAGAATTACCTCCCGTTGTTTTATACCCTAGCTATTGATGTAGAAGGGCAGGTTGGGTGTGACCGCGCTTTATGAGGGTGTGTTGGTTAAAGACTCGCATTCGTAAAGCTGAAACTCGTTAGTGGAATAATTTTATAGCAGATTTAGAGCTATAACTTCTCCACTGGCTCAGCTATGTACAAAGGTCGATAAGATTGTTTACTCCGAGCTGTGGTTGAATGCTCGATTTGAAGGTCGTGTTACAAACGTTTTGTATTCGGTTCATTCAAATGATCCATATATTAGTAGCTTTGGAAACACATTGCAGTCTACCATGTGTCTTGGAACATGTTAGAGGAACATTACGCTATACGATTTATTTTTGCATTTTGTCACGACCATGTCATTACGTAGGGGCGGTGGGGTAGCCTAGTGGTTAAAGCGTTCGCTCGTCACGCTGAAGTCCCGGGTTCTATTCCCCGGGATACAATGTGTAATTTCTGCATGGTGTCCCCTGCCGTGCTGTTGCTGGAATATTGCTAATAGCGGCGTAAAACCATACTCACTCACTATTACGTATAATATATACCAATTTAGGCTAAAGGGAGAAACAGTTTACTCTTCATTTTGGGGGCCACGAATTGTATGTATCGGGTGGTGAGGCTTGCTGACTTGGTTGACACGTGTCATCGTATCCCAGTTGCTTAGATTGATGCTCATGCTGTTGATCACTGGATTGTCTGGTCCAGACTCGATTCTTTGCAGACCGCCTTCACACACACTTATATTTCCAGCACCACTTTCACATACAGCGAACTACGTTTACAACGAACACGCTTGTGACGAATTGGTGGATATAACGAACTGGTTTTCCCCCCAATCACTTGCTGTATAAATAAATCGAATCGCTTATAATGAACTACGGCCATTAGGTACTATAATCTTGTTGTAATCTTTGAGTTCGTTATAACCGTAGTTGACTACTCCAAACTAATCTATGGCGGTGGGGAAGCCTAGTGGTTAAGGCGTTCACTCAAGCGGAAGACCCTGGTTCGATTCTCAACATGAGTACAATGTGTGAAGCCCATTTCTGGTGTCCTCTGCCGTGATATTGCTGGAATATTTCTAAAAGCGGCGTAAAACTAAACTCACTCACTCAGTCCAATCTAATCTAGTTCATCACAGTCGACAATGTTCCAGCGAGATGGATTGGGTTGTGTGTGTACGTGTGTTGTACGTGTGCGTATGCGTGCGTGTGTTACGACAAGTCTGAACCAGACAATCCGGTGACTGACATAATGAGCATTGATCTACGCAATTAGGATACGTAGACTTACATCAACCAAGTCAACGAGTGAGAACAGCCAACCCCGTTAGTTGACTCACGCAAGCATGGGTTGCTGAAGACCAATTTTAACCTGGATTTCCACGAGGTTCCAAAGTGGTGCCGGGTGAATATGAAAATAGTCTACAACGGGCGTATAATGGTATTTAAACTACACGGCTCGGGGATCAAGTCACTGGACGTTTGTAAGGGAGCTGTTAATGAGACCTCCTATCTATCAAATTTGGTGCGGCACAATGTGTTATTTCCAAACACACACTGGTTCATTGTGTACTAGATTTGACAGCAGTTATATATGGGGCACGTGCCAAAATGGAGGATATGTTTGTGACTGGTGCCAGTGATTAGTATTCTGCTCAGTTCAGCGCGTGATAAAGTCAATGTTAAATACACGGACACATTGACTCGGACTATATCTATCCATGACATTGTATTCTTATCACGAATCTGAAATAGGTTTGTCGTTAAACAAGTTGTTTTTCTTTGAAGAAAATATTGGTATAAAGAAAACCCACGAATGCCATAAACAAAACACATAAGTATAAATATTTGTTTGTTTCGACTGAAATCGTTAAGACGAATATTTGACAACGGAGAAGAAATGAGAAATATAAATTTTAATGTCGATTAAACTTTATCATGATGCTAAAGTAATAATTAAGAAAATCTACCACAAAACACTGTATACATATGTCAATAAAATCATATGGACAGAGTCGAAAAGTAAAGTTCATTCTGTGTCACGATATTATTCAGTATTTATTAATGTTATTCATAATCTGCTGATTATCCCTCCATTGTTTATAGATATTATATCATAAACATTTATCAGTTTAATTCGTCGATTGAGAGGAAGTAGATAAAATGGCTTGATGTATATTCGATGATAGCGATCCAGTATCGTCCAATTCACCTATATTATTGGCAAACTTTAAAGAGAATACGATTCACCGGTATCACTGAAATCAATTACTTTATGGTTTTATATATGCTAATGGTAATAAAGCGATATTCTGCACCACAGCATAACCGATACGAATTCGCCAACCCTACACAAACCGAAACCCAATCAGCAAGCGCGCTCAAGTCACGTGACTCCAAAGGAAGCAGCTCTCGCCATGTTCACAAACCCGCATGATGGCGAAAGGAGTGTACTGACGGTAGTTGGGATTTTGCTGAGTTTTGACAGAACGTCATAATGTGCAGTTATGCGATCGACGATGGATATTTCAGGAGAACTTGTGTACATTGTGTCTAGTGCTGGATAATATTTCTAGTGGATTATACGAAGAGGGGCGGCCTATTTGTTAGTCTGATAGAGCACTCGTGCAACCTTCCATTCATTGTCAGGGTAGAAGATATCCTGTACTGAATCTTCAAATTTCAGACGAAAAGTCAGTGGAATAATTATCATCGCCCGGAAATTCTGTCACTACACAGAAGCTCACCATGGATGGAAATATAAGTGTTGAGAAAGACTGCAGTGCCCTTGGCGGTCTTTTCCAAGCGGTTATCAACGATATGAGGGTGAGTTAACTCAGACCTCGACAGCTGGGTCTTCTAACGCTACTGTCTCGCTCTACTGACTTGCGGTGTACTATTCAATAATACGTTATTGCATGTTGATTGCGGCAGGTTATTCGTATTGTTTATTTACTACCACAGTTTCAATCAACGATCTTAATTGCATGTTTTTTCCAGTTATAAAAGTGTTAATATTACAAACAAAGCGACCGTACCGGCTTCGAGCATTTCCTGTGATCACTTGCCAATTAACCCTTTGACCTCTGTTTATTGTACTAAAGGGTTAAATGGGAACGAAGCATGTTACAAGCATAGTATATAACCATAGGTGTTAAATACCGGGAGTGATTTCACACCGTCTAGATTGTTCAACGTTCAACGTGTAACACAATGTTGCATTTGTGACCAACAGAATTTGCTTTCGTTGGTACCCATGTGTGTGGTACGGATAATGAATTTATTTCATGCACAAGCTAGACATAGAAGACGCTGTGCAGTAATGACACCCTTCTCATCGAGAATGTGCACTACTATAACATTCCATGATGATTCTAAAACTACGAAATGAGAATTATACGTTTTTTGATCGAAGCCAGCAGAAGATGGCTGTCAAGAAAATGACAGCAACACACTTCCTCAGGGAAAGTCAGTTATTGACTTAAACATTTAACCAAGTCAGCTCCCTCTTATAGACACAGCTGTCTCGAACTATTTCCAAGCTAGACTAATGATATGTAGATGTGTATATAAATATATATATATATAATTTTGATAGAAACAAATAATTGCATTTATTCTGAAAAGTAGTCCCAGAGAGATTGGAGATTCAGAACCTGAGAAAATCTAGACTTGCTTCATGAAGATCCATAGTTGCAGAAAGGGCTGGGTGGAAGAGAAACTAATGTGGTTCAGTAACTGTGAGACAGACTCTCTCGAAGCCAACGATAAGCTTTCAGATTTAATCGGACGTAACACAGATAAAATTAATGTTAGAATTCATATACAAAAATGACACCTTGCACCTTTTGCAAAAAATGAATGAGTTTTTTTGTGCATATTTTAATGTGAAACGTAAAGCATCACAAGAAGTTCTTCGTACACTCTCCATTCATCTGTTAAGCTATGTACTAACTTATATTTGCATTATGGATACAACTTGAACAGCTTAGCTATATTTAGCGCCATTGATCATCTTCATTCACTATTAATGATAATGTGAAAGGATTTTTCTAAATTATTTAGTCAGAGGCCCGGGTTACAAGTGCTTATATAAACAGTTGCTAATTCCTTATCAATGTATTATCACAAACCTGGTACAGTAATAATAGAAATCTTATCCTTTGTAAGTAGAGTTACATAATGTCAGCACAACCTGGAAACAAGATGGGTTACTCATTGTGACATCATGGTCTATGTCTGACACATGTTCAGTACTCGTATCTTGAACATCCACAGCACTATCATGGCTGAAGATGATTTGATGTCATTTTGTTTTGAAAAGAGCTTTAGATAGCTTAAACATGATTTATCAAATTCATTACAGGATCAAGATGCCTGAATTGTATTAAAAGCAAACATTTACCCTAATAGCTGATTTGGTGTGTGATTTTATTTATAACCACGGTTGTATTTCAATTAGATGTGTGTGATTACGTCATCTGATATGAAGAGTCTGGTTTTGATGTCACAGGTTTTCTTTTCCAATAATCTTGATTTGTTGGTGTTTTTGAATGTACCAGATATCATTGACATTATGTCAGATTAAGATATGCAAGCTCAGATGGATGCATTTGGAATATGCTTGTTAATGTTACTATTAATTGTATTGATTTAAAATTAATTTGCTATGGCAATAGACTTGATATGCATCATTATAAATTTAGTATAATGGGTTTTGTTTAGGTCCTTTAGAGCTGTTCTACATGACTAGTTACACTGAGTGATTGGGTTTGAAGAAATAATGGCTATGTGAATTCTTTCATAATTGATTGTCAGTAAGCGTATACCCCAGTACAATACAATTGTTTCTTAAAGGATCAGTGCTTGTTTTGTGAATTCTCATTTAAAATGTTATTGATTGTTATATCAGTTTGATATTGTTGCCATATTGATTCAATGATTCCATTTAACATGCTTAAACAAATCTAATGCTGGGTTATTTAAATTACAGCAATTCAAGAGGGAATTTGGATAAAGCCTTGCATACTAGTGAATGATTGCATTTTGGCTTTTTTAAGAGCTCCCCAATATCCTTGATATCTAGTATTTGTTTCAGAACTCGAGTAAGAAAAGTTTTGATGTAGAGTTCACGTTTCTGTGGATGCTTGACTTCATCATGGTTTTGTCCAGCACAATCCCATTTTGAGTCCAGGGACTTTCCGTTATAGGTCTCTTAAGATCCGGGGTAGAATAGGTCTTCAGCAACCCACGCTTGCTACAAAAGGCGACTATGCTTGTCGTAAGAGGCGACTAACGGGATCGGGTGGTCAGGCTTGCTGACTTGGTTGACACAAGTCATCGGTTCCCAATTGCGCAGATCGATGCTCATGCAGTTGATCACTGTATTGTCTGGTTCAGACTCGATTATTTATAGACCCCCGCCATATAGCTGGAATATTGCTGAGTGCGGCGTAAAACTAAACTCACTCACTCACTCACTTTCCGTTATAAGCATGAAATTTTGTCTGGTAAAATGTGCTTGCTTGACTTAAAACAGTTTAAATGTATGTGCTTATTATAAGTGGTGATTTTAGCCTTACATTGTAGATGATCTATCACTGATACTTTGAGTATTGAGTGTATTTATTTCCAGAATAGGAATGCCAAATATGTGTGAAAATAAACCTGCAATGCATATTCTTTTCATAATTCAAAGAACCAAGCTGTTTTGAGTTTGCCAGGATCAAATATGTAAATCATGTTCATTTTATATTCTCTGTATCTTTGGGGTGGTGGGGTAGCCTAGTGGTTAAAGCGTTGGCTCACCATGCGGAAGACCCGGGTTCGAATCCCCGCATGGGTACAATGTGTGAAGCCCATTTCTGGTGTTCCCCGCCGTGATGTTGCTGGAATATTGCTAAAAGCGGCGTAAAACCAAACTCAGTCAGTCAGTCTTTGTATCTTTAATATGGTATAGGACACAGCACTTAGTGTCCAGCCAAACCCTGGTCAGGGGACTTGCACCACTACCAGTGACAATAATGAGTAATGTCAGGGATATAAGGCAAGGGGAACCAAATTACTAACAAATGGTGGTCATTTGTACCCCGAGGAGCGTCTGACACAACCCCCAGGCAGTCTGTTGTGACTGTGTGTCAGTCATTCACACTGGTATTTATGACATTGGGGTGAGTGCAGGGCTCCAGATAAGGGCCCTATGGGCGTATGTACGGATAAAAAATATGCACGATACGGTAGGAAATAATTTAGAAACAGTAGCAGACACGCAGCACAGCAATGGTGTACGGTCTTAGAATCATTTACAGACGTATTTATCTGAAAAAAGTATTGTTATATTGTTTCTTTACCTGTTTACACAAGAGTAGCAATGTTGTGGTGCATATATAAAAAGAAACACAAGATTATATTCTCCATTAAATTCCATTCAGTACTCCCAATGTACTCTTAAGTTTTTCCAGTACTCCTATATATATAAAATAAGGAGTACGTACTCCTCATGTTGAAAAATTATCTGGAGCCTTGTGAGTGAGTGAATGTGGTATTTCTGTGCAGTCAGCAGTAATCCAGCCATTTTGCAGCTGCCTATAGATAAACAGATAAGACAAGAGGCCTACCTTCAGCACCCTATGCTTGTTGTAAGAGGTCACTAATGGGATTGAGTGGTCAGGCTCCCTGACTTGCTGATGCATTTCGACATATCCCAAATGGGTGGATGTTGATGTATGCTCATGATGTCAATCATTGGTTTGTGTGCTCCAGATTCAGATATTTACAGACTGTTGTATACAGCTGAAATGTTATTGAGTGTGGTGGGGTAGTCTTGTGGTTAATGCTTTTGCTCGCTACCTAGTCTGTCTCACAGCCCCTGAAAGCGTCTGCCCTGAGAGCGGAAGGTCGCGGGTTCGATCCCCAATAACGTCATACCAAAAAGACGTTAAAATATGGTACTTGTTGGTCCCTGCCTGGCGCTCGGCATTAATGGGTACAACAAGGACTGGTCGGCTCGGGGTCAGTATAATGTGTCTGAGTGGGGTATTCATGCTTCACTGCGGCATGGTATCTCAGTGGGCTAGCACTATAAAACCAGCTTAAGTCTGGGCTAGTATAAGCAGCCGCACATACACATGCATGCACGTCGTCATATGAGCAAAATATTCTCAAGCAGGACGTTAAACCCAATTTCACCTCACCTCACCTCACAGTCCCTGAACCACATTATTTCCCCTACTGCCTTGCCCTCTCTACAGTGCTAAAGCCCTAAATAAAGCAAGTCAAGAGTTCCTCAGGTTCAGGAATCTCTAGTCTCCTTTTCAATTTAAATGGGCTTGTTTGTTACTATCAAACTTATATATATTCAGAGAATAAGCATTAGTCTACTCGCTACCCTGAAGACCTGGATTCAATTCCCCACATGGATTCAAAGTGTGAAGCCCATTTCTGGTGTCCCATGCCATCTTATTGCTGGAATATTGTGAGAAGTGGCATAGAACTAAACTCACTCACTCAGTATGTGTGGCATTTATGAATAAAATTACAATAATCCATATCACGGCCAAAGAAATGTATTTCTTTAAGACAAATGCAGGGGGAATGGTGGAAAACGTATGTGAGTCGTGACTGATCCTCATAGTATGTAGCTAGTCAGACTGGTGTGGCTTGTAACATCATCACAGCCTCGGGAACTGGAAAAGTGTTTAAGTTCTCAACTGTTACTGGCCATTAGGACCTTCTTTACAAGATATTTAATTGTCTTTAGCTCAATTTAGTAATTTTACTTTTAAAACACAATCTGCCAGGTCACTCAGACACTAGACTTGCACAAA